AGTCCCATTACCAATAAATAGGTTAAATGAAAATCAAATGATGAGAAAATTGTGACCTTACATTCCTTGGAAAATCCCATTGCGAATGAAGCATCCATGACTAAGGGAACATACGAATTTTGCACTTTTATTAAGTATAGCTTATTTCCAAATGTATCATAGCATTTTAGATTCTATGTTTAAACTACTACAGAAATTCTGGCAAGAGATAATGCAAAAGGAAAAATGTAAAAAGATACATTTTATTAATTTGTAAAGGATTACGTAGGAAGCAACCTGAGTAATTTTTCTCCACTTGTCAAAATATGATGGTGGTAGAATATGGACTGTTCAAATAAACAAAACCTTTAAATTAATTAATTGGTGAAGCCTTACGAAAATAAAAAGCACAAAGCTGTATACTCCAACAGCCAAATCGTAGATACTTTGGGGGTCATTCTAGCTCTACCCCCACACTTACTGGACAGTCAGAAATTGTGATACACAAAACTGAACCAATATACATGCAATCTCTGTAAGGGATAGTCTCATAGGATGCTGTAAGACTTCCCTGTTTAAAACAGTTACAGAAGAACTCTGGTTATAAAATGTGCACTGCTATCAAATTACTCTCATCCATTACTCATCATGACTGCATTATAACTGTAGTTTCACAATTTAGCCATGAGTTCATGTTGGCTTCTTGCAACATCTATAGTCATTACACAGAAGCCCTAAACTCGCAAAAACTTGGTGAAGTTTACTGCTGCAGTCCCAATGTACAGTTTTACTCTTCTCAGTTAAGAGAAACACAGTTCAGGTATCAGAATGCCAAACTTACTGTTGCTTCTCAAGATGCAACAAGGCTAAGTTTGCAAATACTATTGCCTACAGTGTGCTCCGTATTCTAGAGATCTAAGTATGTGTTAAAAGTATATATTAAAAATGTTTCCATGTTATGAACTGCAATTTGATAAAAATGAATAAATGAACGATGGTCAAAGGATCACATAAGTAGTTTAACTGCACAGTGGGGCTTTTCCAACCTGCCTTCCCATTGCAAAAATCTGGTCCTGTGAATTGGGGGAATATGATTCGATTCAGTACAAAGATTTGCAGCTCTTCCCTTTTATTAATTTACAGGGTTCTTTGGATCCTGACCACAAGGGATGGACAAATCTGTCAATTTTTGGTTCTGTTTCTCCTTTTTCCAATCTTAAATTCAGATCTCAAGATTTTATTTTATTTTTGCAGAAGTTTGCTTAAAAAAAAATCCATGTGAAAATTCTTCAGCATTTTAGTTCAAATTTCTCCTAACACCTTGTTGCATGCAGTTGTGACAGATAAAGACATTTTGCAAGCAATTCCCCCAATACAATGATTTTATATATTATTCTAAGCAGTGTGTGCACTTATATGCACACTTTGCCCTAATATGCTCATATTTGTGCACATTGCTTGGCTGGACCAATGTACAGCAAAATTGTGAAAAGTGTGGATTTTGGAAGATGGCTGTGTTTTAATTCACATATTGTTTTGGAAAGTGTGAATTATGTAAGTTTAAATGTGAACTGAATCTAATTTCTCCCCTATCTCTACATGCGCTGGCATATATCTGCAAACCTGGACGGACATCACTAGAACATTAGAATTACATGTTTTACAATATTGTCTAGGTTCAAAAGAGCCTCCATTTTAAGTATGTTCGCTCTAAAGTGACATATATCAAGATTTTTCTAGATAATAATTACTCTTGTGACATCTTACAAGTTTAACAAATTTAGATCATGTTTAGATGCCTTAGGCTCATATTATAATACATTTATTAGTACTTAAAGTGCTACAAGGCACTGATGTTTTTGCTGCAACACACTAATATGGGCTCTTCCATAATATCTTAAAAGTTATTTCTCTCCCCCCCCATGCAATAAATAAATTCCTTTCCATAAATTTTTGCTTGAAATAGTGCTTATTATGCTGAGGTACTGCCATTTCCCAAGAACTCATATAGTAATGTATTTCCGAAAATATAACTCTTTCCCCTTAGTAGGTTAAATTGCCATGAAGAATGTGGTTCTACTTTAGTCTCAGGAATCCTGTAGGCTTATTTGTGAATATTGTCTATGACAATGTACAACTCTACCTCCTGCACAACTACCACATCTTCTTTTCAGAGCCTTTTTTTAGCTGGAACTCACTGGAACTCAGTTCTGGCACCTCTCAGGTGGGCGCCATTGCCATGATAAGAAAACGAGGAAGGCGTTCATGGTGAGTTCAAGAATCTCTTTTTCTCGAAAAATAGCAGATTCTTTTCTATATTTGGCCCACAAAGGCTCCCATTTTATTTTAGAAGTTCTGCGGCATGGGGACAATGTAGAAGCAGGTGCAAGCATAGCGGAGAAAATGATGGGGAAAGGTAAATAATTAGGTAGGAACTATTCTAATAGGCTACTTTAGGCTAATTCAAGCGCTCACACCCATCCAACAATTTGTGTGTGTGTGTGTGTGTGTGTGTGTGTGTGACTTTGAACAGATCTTGTGTCATACCACAATCTGCTTTTACAACTCCTTCAAGCATTTCTTGCCATACAGCAATGCTGCTGTTTTTCAGTAAGCACAGATCCGAAGAACTCTTGGCACACAGAACTAGCTGGAGTCTTTGGATTCTAGCCATTGCCTGGAAAGATCTCTGGGATCCAGCCCTATAAATTTATTCATATAGACACACACACTTATTGAAAACATAAACGAACTGTGAATGTCTCTGTAAATATTGTACACCTATGATATTGTATATCTATGGCCAGTTGTATAAAATTCCTCCCTACTCCAGAATGAAGATAAGAGCAGTCCTGCTGCTCAGCGGTCAACCAGATAAGAAAATAAGAGCACTTCCAGATCAGGCCCAAGACCCAGTGAGTGCAGCATCCTGTTCTCACTGCGGCCAACCAGATGTACATTGGAAAGTGCCTCTAGGTAGCAGGACATGAAGAGAACCACCCTCTTCCATAGTTGGTACCCTACAGTTAGTATTCAAAGGCATATTGCTTCTATTCTTAGTGGTTGAATATAGCCATCACAGCTATACAACTTTTCAGTTTCTTTTGCTCTTGGTTTTTTTATTATTATGGATTTTGTGTTTTTTATATTGTTATTTTATGTTGTGAATTGCCCTGAGATCTACACATGTAGGGCAGTATACAATATAAAGAATAATAATACAAGTATTGCATGGCTGATTTAAAGCTATGTTTATTCATTTGTTAGGTACAGCAAATATATATATATATAGGCATGTGTCATCACAATTCCTATAGCACATAAACTTTAAAAGAACTTTACTTCAGCAGACTTTGCATATTGCGTGCACCTTTGAGTTTTAGTTTTCTATTGATGTAATTTTCTGAACTATTAATTACATGATCAAGTCAACACATATCTGAAACCAAAAAAGCAAAAGAGGATACTGTATCTTACAGCAGGAGTCTAGTTACACATGCTTGGAAGTCAGTTCTGCTTATACTGCCAGTTATTTGACAATAATTAAGTATGAGTATGTCCCATTGAAAACAATGGCATAGGAACAGTCGCAACTCTCTTAAATCCCATGGATTTCCCTTGATTGGATTGTTTCAAACATGTTTAGGAGAGTGTTATTAGTTTTACAATCTTATTAAAATGGGTCTTTAAGCAACTAATTTAAAATATAATTATATTGTACGGTCCTTTTAAAATTATGCTTATTAACCTTTAAGTTACAGCAAAAGAAATCCTATGTATTTTATCTAACAATTTTTTGAAGAACATTACCATATCAGTGGGATGTCAGACTTGGCATATCTAAGGTAACTTAGAAAGTTTTAACTTTCTTTTAATTTTATAAAACTTTTTAATTTACAGGCACCTGGAGGGTGGATTTTCTATGGGAGCCTATGAATACAAATGGCACCATAAAGTACAATAAAACTTTTTTTTAAAGCTAGGTATTGTAATAGTATTAAGAAAAATCAAAACATGAGTGGATAAAGCAGAATTTGTCATGCATCTAAGTAAGTGTGTAGTAATTCTTTTGGATGAGAGACTACGCCACGTTAGCTGTGCCTAAGATGCTGTTGTGATTGATGTGCCTCTTCTTTGGTACATTAGCAAAGAACGTTGTATTTGTCGAGATGTCGCTCATGTCCCCACCCTGTGCTCTGATTTATGCCACTCTCCTAAATATGTTTACCCAGTAGTAAGCCCCATTAAATCCCGTCACATCTGCTTACAAGTAGGTAAGTGTAGCACTGAAACCTTGCTGTGCAAAGGGAGCTCTTTCCATTGTTAGGATGTTGCATGTATAGTTATTTTTGTGGCGTCCCGTTCTCCTGCCCCCACCCCCGGAGCCCTTGCTGCCCTGTTGCATCAACTTCCTGTGCAAAGCTCCTCGCTTTGGGATGGTGATGCTTCTTGTTCCCTCTCACACCCCTTTCCCTCCTCCGGTATGTCAGCTTCCTGTGCAGAATCCCCGACGTTAGGGCTAAGGATGCTTGTGCAGCCGCTGCTTTGGTGCATCAACTTCCTGTGCAAAGCCCCTTTGCAATCGGGGCGATTATTCATGTTTTCACTCCTGCCCTTGGCGCATCAACTTCCTGTGCAGAATCTTTTTTTCTTTTTTGCAAATGGGGGAAAGAGAATGTTTGTGAAAGAACACTGCGTGCTCCTTTTGTTGTTGGCGTGGTGTTTTCTCTCTCGCTTTTGCCCTGGTGCATTCGCTTCCTGTGCAGAATCCTTTGCAGTGGGGCGGGGTGGGGGGGTGGGAGGAGGAGTGCAGTGAGCAAGCGAGGATGCTTGGCCGTGTGTTTCTCCCTCATTCCTCGGTGTATCCGCTTCCTGCGCAGAGCCACTTGCATTAGGGGAGGGAAAAAAGAAGATGCTGGCGCTTCTGGTTGTTTCTTCTCGCCGCCGCCGCCTGCCCTAGTGCACGATCCCCCCCTCCCTCCCTTCCCCGCTGGCCCCGGTGCACGATCCTTCCCTGCCGCCGCTGCCGCTGCTGCTCTACTAGAGTTTGCTGCCCTACTTCACTCTACTTTAGTTTCACTCACTTTACATCCGGGTTTTTTCCCTAGGCAATGGGTGCCGCAGCACAGCCCGTTCCTTAGGCAAAGGGAAATAAATTCGCTGCACCGACACGTCAAGTAGTCCCTCAGGAGGAGCCTTGAGGCGCCCCCTCCTCCTCCCGAGGAGGCCGGCCGCCCCTCCTCCCTCACTCATAGGGGGAGAGGGGTGGGGGGAGAGGGAAGGGGGAGCCCGCCGCCCCCTCCGCTTTTGTCCCCTCCCTCGTCTCCTCCTCCCCCCCCACTCCACCCGCTCGCTCCGAAGAGCGGCCGGAGTAGCTGTATGTGTGTGTGTGAGGGAGGGAGGGAGATAGCTAGAGAGAGAGAGGGGAGTTGTGTCGGGGGCGCGCGCAAGCCTCGAGTCGGGAGCGCGCGCCTCCGGCAGGCCAGGCGAAAGCAAAGGAAAGGAAAGCGAAGGGAGGCCGGTGGCGGAGTGATCCAGGCGTGCGGGTGCTGCGGCCGGGCCGGGTGAATGGGATTGAAGAAGAGTTCAGCTTCTCGGCTTGTTTTTGTGTCACAGTTTCTCTTCTCCTGCGCCTCTTCTGCCTCGTTCCTTTCTTCCTGCCCGCCCCCTCCTCCCTGCTGCAGGAGGAGCCCCCCGGGGAGAGGGGAAGGAACAGGACCCCTCAGAGGAGAGGGAGAAGAGGAAAAGCAGGAGCAGGAGGAGGAGGAGGAGGAGGTGGAGGAAAAGGGAGCAACCAGCCAACCAACCATCTTCCACTCCCAGCTTAGATTAAAGAAAGTGAGAGGAGGAGGAGGAGGAGGAGGAGAGGAGAGGAGCCGAGAAGAGGGGGACAGGGAGGCCCGGAGGAGCAGCTGCACCACCTTCTTCTCCCTATGAAGAGGAGTCTCCCCCCCTCCAAGAGAGGTCCTGCCAGGGGGGGCCCGGCCAGACAGCGGCGGCAGCGGCAGCAGCAACATCACCACCACCAGCAGGGTGTAGTATCCCACCTTTTGGATTCTCTCCTCCACCTCCCTGTTTTCTCCGCTCTGTTCTTTCTTTCTCTTCTGCTTCTCTCTCCCCCCCCCCCAAGTAGTGCTGGTCTCCCCCCCTCCCCCCTCCCCGTCTTGTGCCTTGTTGTCTTTCTGAGGGAGTTTGGCGGGTAGGGGTGGGGGGATAGCAAAGGGTAGGTTTGGAGGGCGACGACGACGACGACGACGGGGTGTAAAGTCCACCATCAGACTCCCGAGCCAACTTGGAGATAAGGAGCAACAACTTCAGTTTAATTCGCCCCCCCCCCACGCACCAACAGATATATAGATGTAGATCTGTATAGATCTATAGGCGCGAGATGCGGGAAGGGGGCATGTCCTTTCTCTGTCACCTGTAAGGATTGAAGTAAGTTTCTGAGCGAGGAGGGGGTGGAGGAGCGGGAGGGAGTAGGTGACACATTGGAGTAGGGAGGGAGGGGGGAGAAGGAGATGACACATTGGCGGGGAGGGGTGATTTCTCCCATCCCTTCTGGTTTTCCTCGGGATGATTATTTCCAGGCCCTTTTGTGTGTGTTGGGCTGATTTTCCTCTGTGATGCTGCTGGGGGAAGTTTTATTATCTTGGAAATGATGCTGCTTTGATGATTGAGGATTCGTAGTAAAGCTGCTGCTGCTGCGGCGGCGGTTTTTTCCGCCTCCCTTCTTCTTCGTCTTCTTCTTCTTCTTCGCCTTTAATTTGTCTTGGTGGCCCGAGTAGTGCTGGGAAAATTCCGTTTCTTCAGCAACTTGTTATTCTGAAGTCTCTCTTGCCCCCCTCACCCTGGGGCAGCCCTTGCTGCACGGATACAAAGCTCGGTGCAAGGACACCTTTGGGATTTCACACTCCTACTCTGGCACATGTTTGCAGTGACTGGAGATGTGTACCTTCTTTTTTTCCTCCTCCTCTTCCATTTCTGCGTGTGTTATGTAGGAGGAGTGAGGTTGTATGTGGGACTGCCATTTGGTCTAGTCCCCTTGTGATTGTGGATCTCCTTACTTTTCTGTTTGCTTCTTTGTTATTCTGATGGGATCCCTACCCCCCAAAAAAATATTTGCAGTGTGGTTGATGCCTTCAAGATTGCATTGTTAGACTTTTTTGTTGTGGGGGGATTAGATCAACCCCACTCATGGCTTTGCACTGTTTGAGATACAGTATAAGTATGTATTGGCCACTTTTTGGTTATTTGGTTGGGGATGCTTGCAGGTGGCAAGGAGGTTGTTTTGATAGGTAGGAGGATGCTACTGTATTTAAATTACATGCTATATGTTTTAAATGTCAACTCAGACTATGCACACACACTTACAGATAAGCACCAGTAAAATCAGTGGGTTATACTCCAAAGTAAATGCCGTTTGGACCAAGGGGCTTAATTTCTTTGTATTGTTTATTGTATGTGATTAAACTTCAGTGGGCCATTTGTAAAGTTGTAGTGGATTGATACTTGTTCAGGCCTGTGTACTTGAACATGGATTTTGCTTCCGTGACCATACTTTTCAGCTCTATTTCCAACAGGGATGTGACTTTTTAAAATGAAAGTTGCAATATAAAATATCTGCATATAGAAAATAGTCTGATGTAGGTTACTTATGGCATAGTAATGATAGTTAAGCACTATATTTCTCCATTGATTAATACTGGGCTTGAAAATTAGCGCACTTGATCATGTTAATCACAGCAAGACACTTATTATTACAATACTTGGGGAGAAGCTGCTGCTCATGTCTGCTGAAATAACTCCATAGGAAAATTCCTTTTAAAGGAATAAAGGAAAGGAACTACAGAAAGGCATTCTCAACAAACAACTTTCAAAATCCTTCACTGTGATACTAGCAGAATATCATGGTCCAAGATCTTATCACTTCGTCAGTCCTAAACCTGTTTTGCTTAGAAGTTCTTAGGATAGCATTATTTGGGAGTAAGTTGCTTTTCAATTGGAAGAGTTTAGGGATGTAATAATTTTAGGGACCAACTTTCATATCCTTGTTTATATTTAATTTATAATTTCCCTTGACACTTCAATGTTAAGTTTTACTTTGTGACAACTTCCTTTACATGTAGCAAGCACTAAACCTGGAAGCTATTTTTAAATTTTCTCTACAACGGGTAAATGCTGCAGTAATAATCACCCCCCACAATGAAAAGTAAGGTTAAATAGGGTTGAAAATGTTTTTTGATGTTATGCTGTTTAGCTAAATATTAAGAATCCCTGAAGGTCAACATTATTAGGTGACTTTTCTGATATAGCTGAAAATGTGGGGTTAATGTGGGTGTAACCTTGCAGATCCTTAACCTTGACAGTAGTACACACCATTGAATATACTTTAAATTTTTAACATAGAGACTTGTTTAAATAGCTTTTCAAGAAATGACTTTCTTCCCTATAATCCTCTTATTTAAATATACTGATATTTAATAATAATTCTGAGCAAGAGAGAGCCCTATTTGTTTTCATATATTCTATGAACTTGTCTATCCACACTGGAGTTTCTTGCTATTGGTTTACATAGTACTTAGTAAGCACTACTCCATGGCTGGGGTTCTCAGGGCAGCATCATTTGACACTGCAGTGCACATAAACTTGGAATTAGATTTTACTATCTTTTATTCAGTTTTTCCTCTCATGAAAACTCTTTAACTTCTGAATTCCCTTCAACAACAGTAGCTATATTATTAACCAGTAGAAGTGAAAATAGGACCATGTAAAAAATACTTTAAGAAACTGGTTGTTGTCATCTTTTTTCCTCAGGAGCTTCCAGTTTTGTTTTGTTTTTGTCATTCATACAGTAACTTCTGTGAAACCAAGTCGTTGCCTGCTGGAGTATTTATGGCAGGGGTGGCTAACCTGTGGCCCTCTAGCTGTTGTTGGGGTCTCCAACTCCCATCAGCCCCAGCCAGCATGGCCAATGATCAGGACTGATGGGAGCTGTAATACAACAATATCTAGAAGTTTGCAGATTACCTCTGGCTTATGAGGAAAAAGGTAAAATAGCATCTTCCTCTGGAATCCATTCTGCTTACCACTTTTGTATAATAGCCTTTGAAGTTGGGCATCAGGAAATGGGAACTCAGTTGAACTCAGAGGGTCTTACTCCTGAGTAAACATGCATAGGATTGTGCTGTAAAACAAGGATGATCTCCCCTCCTTTATTTAAAGTATTTTCAGGTTAAATGTTGTTAATAGAAAAGCCTCTATTCATGCATCATTGTGCATACAGGAGTGCTTCTGCATCGTAAGCACAAATGTAAGTGGTATTTGTAATAAGTGTTGGGACACCCCCCCCCCCCGATTGTATTGGAAAAAGAATGATCAAATGAGATGGCTAGGATTTACTTGTTTTCTTTTTCAAGTGTACCACCTTCCTCCTTTATAAGCAATTATAAGTAATATATTTAGTGTTTCAAGCTTGATATTGAAATGCTGTTTAAGATTTGTAGTGATCTTTTAGAGCTAAACAAGTGTTCACTGTTGGATTTTAGTACTTATTTCCTGTAGTTCTCAAAGTTCTGAAGTTGCAGCAAAGTATTTGGGCCAATCTAGCCAAAGCTAATTGCTTTTAAATCTCATTGATTTTTAGTGGGAGTGATTTGAGCACATGCTTAACTCTCTCATTGAAATCAATGCAACTTGAAAGTGATCAGCTTAGTCTGGCTCGGCCTCTGTGTATGTTGAAGTTATTGTTGATAATGGAACAATTTCTCATCTTGTTGTTTGGGACATGCTTGCCTTTTATAAATATTATCAGTTAGCTACAAACTTAAACTTCAAGCCTAACCGAGTCTACTCAGAAGTAAGTTTTAATTGAATTTGCTGGGACTTACTCCCAGGAAAGTGAGACCAGGATTGCAACATTAGTCATGCTTGGAGTATAAATTGGACCCACTGATTTCAGTAGGTTTAGTCTACTAAGCATGACTTAGGTCTAGATTAAACTCTATAGTACTTTCTTCACGTATAATTCTTTGTTTCACACCAGAAGTATACTGTTGCATTGTTTCAATTTAATATATGGGGGAAATAGTTCTAACAGTTACTAAGAGTTGTGTTTTGTACTATGCAGGGAATAGAAACTGGAACGAGTTGCTTCAGTATCACAGGGATAACTTTACCATTGGAATGAATTTATGAATTGCAGTATGTGGAGATGTTTCATGGTTATAATTTAATTCTACCCAATTTTGTATAATATTGTTAACAGTTAATATGACTATTAAAAGAAATATGTTCCACTTACTGTAGTTTGAAGTAAATAGTATGGCAAGTGAGAATTGTTTGGTGCTGTGATTTTAACTTCTGGATTTAGATATTGCTGATGTGTTTGTGTAGTGTGAGAACCTGCTTAAAATCTTATCTTATTTCACTGTTAAAGAATAGTAAAAGAAGTTGAACTGCAAAAATATAGAAATTTTTGCATATAGTCAATCTCCATGGCATGGAATATCCCTGGACACTGAGAAACATTAAAATGCACAGTGCTACTATGAAAATGCAACAGCTGATTTACACATCTCCTTGGAAATCTTAGAGACAAATCTAGCTCCCCCCCCCCCCCAGCATGTAAACTGTGTGATGCAGAAGAATACTAGTGCATGAAAAGTTACTGGAGTTGTACCTTTTTACTATGAGTTCTTTATTTACAGTGGGGGGGGGAACCCCTCAGAATTGTTATGCAAATTCTATTCTGCTGTTGTTGTGTTTATGCAAGAGGCTGAAAATAAGCTTTGAGGCAAGTGTTGTAGTAATGGTGTATTAAGTCATAATTGTAGTTCAGGACTTGATTAAACAATTTTTAGAATTAAGATACATATTGGGAAAAGGCTGGGCATCCCAGTGCAAAAAGGGATGTTTACATCTAATTCCTCTGAGCTCAGCTTGTTTGAGGATAGCATATTCTTGAAGCTACTTTAGAGGCAGGTTGTATGCTGGTTTCCGGATAGGTAGCTTATTGACACTGAAGAGCATAATAT